GGGAAGAGAGCACAGCTGCAACAACAGAGCAAGTATATGAAGAAGCATTTGGGGGGGGGAAGGATCCCCTCAGACCTGGCCATTGGTTGATTTATGGCTGTTTTCCTTCAAATCCCTCCTGGGGCTCCGGAATGGGGGCAAAGCAGTTCAGAGGCTGATTTCCTTCTTTGGAGAAATGTGGACAGAAACAAGGGCCCTGGGTGTGGGTTTCCCAGCTCTCAGGGATGGCGCGGGTGGGCGAGTGGCAGACCCTGACCCGAATCTGGGCCAACTATCCTGTGGGAACCATAGGAGCAGCGGTGACAATGGTCACATTTCTTAGGATCCATGTGTGGCCCCCACCTCCCCCCCCGCCTCCCTCGGTTGGTTTCTATTCTAGTCTGGAGGGCCTGGCCTGGCCGAGGAGATGGGCAGCGGCTCAAGAAGGCAGAGGAGGGCCAGAAAATGCAAAGGGGAAGCACGCAAAAGCCATCAGGAGGAAGAAAAGGAGGTGTCAAAGCCTTGCCTCTGGAGATGAGGCGCCAGTGCGGAAGGCATCTCAGTCCACCCCAGACTCAAAAGATTTTTGCTTTTTGTTTTAAAGCCCGACGGTCTCTCTCTGTCGGACGTATCCTTTGACACCCCCCCCCTTTAAGGTGATGCCTCTGGATGCTGAACTCTTCGCACCTTTCTTTGATCAGGAAAGGAAAGGAAAGGGGAGAAGAAAGAGCAGCCCTTCCCGGGATCCCGTCCATTCACCTTGGAGGGCACCTGTCCTGAGCCGGGCTGAGCATCCCTTACTCGCTTTGGCTAACAGAGTGGGAATGTGATGGGAACTGCAAAAACTGCCTAAATCAGCTGCTGGAGGATCAGCGCTGAAAGCTGGCCGAGGTTCCGTTCTGTGGTCTTTCGTTCAAATCTTGAGCCCTCGAGCAGGTCAGGTTTCACAAACCTTCCGTGGCTCGCTGGGGAAGAGCCATGTTTTGGCCCTTTTCTGTCCTTGGGGGCCGGAGAAGCCCTGCTCTAGAAACGGGGGCCTGAAATTCCCCTGCATTTCAAGCACCAGGAGTTTAAAGGGGTTCCTCCGAAGCGGGAGAAGCGAGCCCAGGAATTCTGTCTCGTGCACACACCCACCCTGAAGGACCCCCCCCCCCGGCTCCTTTCCGACTCTCTACCTCCCCCTCTCCCTCTTCTCCATCCTGCCAGGCTGGGTTGCTACACCCAGTCTCTGGCTGCTGGCATTAGTCTGGTTTCCATTAAGCGCCTGTGGAGGTTCAGCTGGGCCCGTGACTGACCGTCCTCCCTCAAAGAGAATCCAAAAGGCCTGCTTGGGATTTCCCTCCCCCTCTTTGTCGTCCCC